CCCCCTCCCCCCCCCCCCCCCCCCCCCCCCAGCCGCCATCCTTGCTTCCCACCTCTCCTGTCTAGCAAACCTCTTGGGAAAATGTCATCCTGTTTTCTCCATGAGGGACTGTCAACTGTGCCCCACTCCCTGTCCTTCCTCAAGTCTAGCTCTCACTCTTCCTGTAGCAGCTGAAGCCTTGAGGCTCCCTGTGCCTCCTCCCACTTAGCTACTCCCACCCACAGCCAAGTTCCTAGAGCCACCACTGGGTCTCAGGAACCATCATGGGCTACGGAAGACACACAGTACCCTGGTGGCAAGGGGTGAGTCCTTGGGGTCAGGCAGGCAAGGGAGAGTTTGCCAGGAGGGTCTGGGCCGGGCTTCTCTAGCCTGTTCTGAGATCCTGCTGCGTGTATGAATCACTCACTGACCCTCCAGTTTCCCCGAGGCAGAATGGCAGAAGGGTCGAATGGTGAGGTTCTCCCAGGTGCACTACTTCCCCAGTCCTCTGCCCCTGCTCTTCCTGTGGAGGCCCATCAGGAAGAAAGTCAGCCATGTACTCCAAAGAGAAGCGCCAGCCTAGGCAACCTTCAGCTGGTGAGGAAAGGCCCATTGGGGCCAGAGGGGAGCAGACACGGAGCCTTCCCCAGATGTGCTTTCTGATGAGTGAGCACTGGCTCTGGGTCACTCTGTTGGGGCCAGTGCCAGGTAGAGCACAGGAGGCCCTGGTAACAGTTGCAGCTTTCAGGGTCCCCTCCAATACCTGGCACACCTTTGGGACCCAGGATGTGGGGCATCCAAGGGTCCTGGTCTTGGTTAGGCCCAAGGTCACTGCCATTGATATGGCCCATTTTTGAAACCCAAGCTTGTGCATTGCTTTAGCTCTAATAGGCCAAGTAGCCATGACTCACTGCTGCTCATTTGCATGGTGATTTGCATAGTGTCTCCACCCTTATTCCTCCAAATTCAACTTCCCACTCCAGAGCGTAGGCCACCCCTATCCAGCAGCACCGGTGGTACTCAGGACCTGGCTCCATCTTCTCTTTTGGAATGTACCCCTCAATGCACAAACAGCCCAGGGACATAGCCTGCAGCACCCATCCTTGTGAACTTCACTCTTGTCCAGGGAAAGGGACAGAAAGGCAGAAGTGCACAGCCTACCTAGGAGCATCTGGAACAGGGCTCAAGATGGGCTACTAGCAGCAGGCCACTCCTACCTGACCTCTGGAGTTCACTCTCTACTGTGCAGAGTGAGTGCAACACAGTGGACATTAGTTAGATTACTGGGGGGACTCTGAAGGCTGGGGTTCAAGCTCACCTTGTCAGAAGCTAGCCAACCAAGACAGGCAGCTGGGGACATATGGAGGTCGTGAGGGTGCTGTGGGCAGACAAGCAGCCCCAGAATACCTGGAAGTCTAACTGCTATCCGTCCAGTTACTTCATCCACACATTAGCCATACCCTCTGAACTGAGGCCCAGTTGAGTTTCCCTACTCTGGGAAGTCATTTCTGGTATCTAACTGCCATCCTTCTCACAGCCAATCCTGCCATGGCAATCTAAGCCCACTTCAATCATCTAGACAAGAATACGGTATGAGGGACCTTGGCCATCAGAAGCCTTAGTTGAGGAGAGGTGGGGGCAGTTGAGACCGTTAAGTATGTCACCTTCCACCTCCCTACTCTACTTCCCCCTGGGGTCTCAGGAGACAGAAGTGAAAGTTGCAGCTGGGCCTTGAAGACAGATCATCTTGACAGGCGTTGGGATGAGCATGATGCCACCAGTGCTGGTTTTGGGGCTGTGTGCTATTGCAACAAGTGGGTGCTAGCAAGATAAGTGGAGGGACCTCCCATGGAAATAAGAACAGTATGGAATTCTGAGCATGTCATGGGCCAGAGAAGACTGGAGAATCTCACAAAGGATCTCTCCTAGGGCACTTTTTTTTTCAGGCATCCAGGAACAGACCAAGAGCTAAGCCTTGATTGCTGGACTTCTGGGATAAGGTGAATGGGAAGCAGTGCAGACTGAAGGGCCACCCACACTGAGACAAGACAGGCCAGAAAGAGGCCAATCCAATCAGGGATGCCAAATCCTCCTGGTATTGTGACCTCAAGGAGCACCAAGGATTTAAAGGGGCCTTGGCGGTGGCTGGGTCTCTAAGCCCTAGGCAGAAGGTGGCAAGGTGGCTCTTATAGGGATTAGCTTATTGCTTTAAGGAAAGGCTAGGTGAGGATGGGTGCCTAGCCCATCGGTCCTGAGCAACCTTGAGCAAATACATACTCTCATCCAAACACGTCTTCACTCAACAGAGTTCACTGCAGAAACCCCTCTGACTTTGTCAGCAATGACTGCTGTCTGTGTATGCATGACCTAGAGGGTTCCCTCCTCTGAGGGAAGCTCTCAGGGGCTTTTACAAGCAAGGCCCATCCCTGGGAACAGGTGAAGGGTTCATTTCTCCTCAGCTCCCCACCCCCAACTGACAGGTGGGGGAGAAGAGTAGGAACAGCTGGGCCAGGACACCTGTTTTCCACTCCATGCCTGGCCAAGGGCCTGCTTGGGGACCACACAAGGGAGTCTGCCAAGAGGCAGGCAGGTGTGGGGGCAAAAAGAGAGGGGTCCAGATGTCAGGGGGAGAGAAAGCAAGAAGAACCACCCTCACCCACCATACATGCTGGAGGAGAGCAGCCAGGCCCTTGCTCACAGTCCTCACTTCATATTTCATCTACTGGAACAGAGAGAATCCAGAAAAAAGGCCTATTCCCCTGCCATCTGCCCCCCCCCACTCCACTGACCCCCTTGTCTTAGTCTATAGTCTCCTAGCCTTCAAACCCAGTCTGGGGGGAGGAGGACGTCACTAGGAATAGGAAAGGACCTGGAACGTCTGCAGAGCAGGTTTTGAGACCACGAGGCAGCTGGCTTTGCGTGGGAAGGAGATCCCGTTTCTCATGCCACTCCAGGGTCTTGTGTTATGGTCCCTTCAAAGCCTTCTCCAGTCCTTATCCTCACACCCTAGGTCTTGGCAGAAGGTCCTGGGAGGGGGGGTGCAGCTGTGACACTTCTCACTGAACCTACTTCCTCTAGGAAAGGCAGAGGTGGAGGGGGGGGATAAGACTGCCCTGTCCCTGAGCTACCTTCAATCCCTTTCCTGTCTGCTCCAATCAGAGTTCCAGGGGCCTCTGTGTGTTGCTGGCTCCTGTTCCAGATCCTTGCTTTGGGGCTTCTTCCATTGGTGGGGGACATCTGAAGGAATTACTGTCTCAGGAGTCAGAGCAATGCACCCACAAACTGCCATCAAAACACCCTTGAGACCTCTGGGTGCTGCACCAAGACAGTACTGTAGTCAAGAGTGGCCTAGAGTCTCCCTCCTGCAGACAGATGCCTTCTCAGACAAAATCCCTCAACCCTTCACAATGGACTTCACTGAATAAATCCTTAGTCTTTCAGCCTCAGTTTCCCCAATGCCAAAGACCAGTAGCAGAAAGAACCCTGCCCAGCTTAGGACTCTTCACAGAAACACCCAATGGTACCCCTTCATCCAGTTCTGGGGAATCTCAAAAGTCTTCATTTTTGACTCTGAACCATGCACCCTGTGAATCTGGGTGTGCATGGTTAATGCCAGGAGGGGAGAGCTAGAGACAGGCAGGATACGCCTTCCCTGTGGCATGTTGTCTGCCCAATGTTAGGGGAGTGGCCCCAGAACAGCCAGGGGCACCTCGCCAAGGTCAGTGACCAAGCCTGGAGCTCGGGGCCTCCTGGGAGGGTAAGTTTAAATGAGTAAATATGGTCCCGCCTGGGTGTGGTTTGCCACAGGCCAGAGCTTGGGGCAAGTCACTCCCTCCAGTACACTACACAGAAGGGGCTGTCAGCCACAATCAACCTCCTCAATCCATGCCACACTGGCAGTGCTGCCTAATTCTGCCATTGGAAACTGGGATAGGGGTGGCATATGGGCTGAACCTGGACAAAGGAAAGGAGGATATGGAGAGCTTTGGGGACCTCCTAAGCTAAGGATTTGCCCCCAAATGCAACAGAGTAGCCTTACTCATGAAAGGTGGGGACAAAGATCAGCATGGACCACCAAGCACACAGGTGTGTATGCCACCAAAAGGGAGAAGAGGGGCAACTTACCCAAGGACTCAGGCCAGGGTGGGGGGCAGTGGCTAGCCAGGGAACAGAACAGCAAGGGAGGTGGAAGTCAGCCAGTGCTCCCTGACTCACAAGGCACGCTCTCCACAGACAGGAGGCCCTGCCTGCCCATCTGTGCTCTGACCTCAAGCCCCGCACCAGCCCGGCTCTCTGGGTTCTGTGTGCCTTCCTGCCTCTAGTCCCTCACCACCCCCCACTCTCCAATCCTTTAATCATCTTTACCACTGCTGCCCCCACCCCCGCAGTGCAACAGCTGCTCTGTGGGTGTCACACCCCCAAGGGTGTGCTGTACACCTTCCTGCAAGTGTCCCATGACCTGCTGGAGACTGCCAGGTGCAACTGGGCCTGCAGGAGACCCCCAGCCTGCTTTCTGGGGAAAGGGGCTCTAAGGTCAGTCTTCCCACTGCTCCAGGACAACTCAGAATATGTTTTGTTCTAGACAAGGAGAGATGAGAAAATATTCCAGGAGCCAAGTAGCACCAGCCCCACTAGGCCAAAGGTCAAAGCCTTTTTAGCAGCGTCACTGGAGAATGCCTGAGATTCCCCTCTTTTTCCTGGCCAAGTTAAGAGCCATCTTTTCCCCAACCTAGCCTCACTGGGAAGTTCTTTCTGATATCCAAGTTTCATCCAGCCTTA